AAAAAAATTAATCCACATCCAGTAAAGAATCCTTTGATTGTGACATTGTTTAATGTAATATTGTCACCATTTGATTGAAAATATAAGTTAGTGTTGTTTGCAGCTGTTACATTAATGAGTGAAATGTTGTTGTCATTTTGTGCCATAACAAATTGAGAAGCCTGTATTCTATTTTTTACAGTTACGTTATTGCCATTATTGCCTATGTAAATTTTTGCATCACCATCAACAATTATATCTGAGAGTATAATGTTGTTTTTATTACTGCCTACCTTAACTCCGTCAGATTCCAGGTATGAGATCAAATATATATCAGATACAGTGATGTCATTCCCATTTCCACCCACAAATATTGAAGAATTGAATATTTTAATATTTTTTACAAATATGTACTCATAATTTTGCAGAACCTCCAATTCTGCTGAATATAGTTTTGCTTCCTTGCCAGTATAACCAAAGAGCTTTTTTGCATCTATTCCATTGAGTGAAATGTTACCATATATAGTGATGTTTTGCAGAGAAATATGTTTTCTGTTGCTTATAACTGACATCACTCCATTGTAAATGGTCACATTACTGATACTGATATAACTACCACAACTTTTTACAAAAAATGATGGTAAATAAAAATCATCATTTGTATTTCTTGCTGCGATATTTCTGACTGTAATATTATTGCCATTTTCTGATACATAAAATAGGCCATCAGTATAAATATTATCAACATCTAAATTACTACTAATTTTTGCTACTATAATTGACATTGCCCTAATCCTTGTAATTTTAATGTGACTACTATTTGAACTACCATGAATAAAAATACGGTAACATTGTAGTGTGAGGGTACGGGTAGGGGGTGTCTTTACTATGACATTTCTAATAGCGGAATGACTTCCAGCAAATATTATTGAAACCCGTGCACGATCTACAACTACATCAGTGATGCTCATGTTACTACCACAGTTGTATACTAACAAGTTAGTGCAATAATATTGATAAACAGTGGCCATGGCTTTGACATTAGAAACACTCAAATGACTGTACACATTTTTAAAATTAATATCTCCACTTACAGTGACATCCCTAATGTTTACATAGCTACTGTGAGTGTCCTGCCTCCCATTAATTATAAGTGCAGCACATCCATCACACTTTACAGTTACATTGCTCAAATTTGAATGATTGCCTATGCCATCAATGAGTATGCCAAAATAACTTGCATCTACAACTACACTAGTGATGCTCATGTTACTGCCACAGTTTAATATTGACAACACAGGGTACTCATTTTGATGAACAGTACTAGTGACTTTAACATTGAAAACACTCAAATGACTGTAGACATTTTTGAATGCAATATATCCACCTGTTACTGTGACATCTCTAATGTTTATGTGACAACTGTGAGTGTCATGCCTCCCATTAACTGTAAGTGCAGCACATCCATTGCACTTTACAGTTATATTGCTCAAATTTGAATGATTGCCTATACCATTAATGAGTATAAACCCAGTAAAATTTGTTGAAGCTATGACATTTTCCATTTGCACTGGAGCATTACTCAAATAGATAAAGGTTGTGTTGCTTTTATAAAACCTTGTGTTACATATTAAAATTTTAGAATTAATAGCTGCCAAACTACCATTGAAGAACATATCACATACCTCAATGTTATGATTGCCAACCAATAGCAGAGAGTGTATTTCCAAATTTCTCAGTGTAACTGTGCGGGAATTTAAAATCCTCATTGAAACATTGATAAGCTTTGCTTTCTCTTCACCAGCTCCTGAATTACCTCTGATGACTAAATTATTGAAATGATTGAAACGGAATGAGTGATTTCCAGGTGGTAATACATGTACTCCTGGTAAGAAGATAAGTTCTGTGTTTGAAGGAAATAAGAAATTTTTAGAATAAAAAGAAAAGACGTGACACTCATGGTTAGCAATTGAATGACAGTC